AATGTCACCACTGCTCTGAGCCCTGGCACCGCCAAGCCCCTCACCCCCATCTCCCCTCGCAGCCCCTCCACGGGGTAACTCACATTTGACTCTCCCACGGCGTCTTACTCCCCGTCGGCTCCTGCCATCGCACTGCGAGCTGTAACCCCGAGCCTGTGCATTGCTTGGGAGGTTTATTATTGGAGATAGATTTGATTAATGCCTGGGCCATGTGTTTCCTGGGGTTTCCCCTTATCCCTTTGATGCAAATCGGCCGCATGCACAGCCCATTGCATTGGCTCGACGGGTGTCCCTGGGCTGCGGTGGCCAGGGGAGGGGTGTCCTGGGCCGGGTGGCCACGTTGCAAAGGAGCTTGCAGGCATGGGGGCTCTGTGGCACCTGCCTTTGCATTGCCTGGCTGCCATGGGGTGTTTTCTTCTGCAGAGGAAGATGTTTTGCTCTGTAAAGAGCTACACTGGGTCAGGGAGGCCAGTGGGTAACCCTGTGGGTTATTGCTCTCCCCAAGCATCGCTCTGAGTGCCCATTCTTTTTCCATTGGGAGGATGGTCAGCCCACGCCACTGGCCTGTCTCTGGCTCACGGCGCATGGAGCATCTTGGCTCTAATAAGATGTTTTGACCACTGCTTTTCTCCGGTGCATCCCTGTCTCGGAAGCAGGAGAGTTGCAGGAGGGCTGTGCCATCCTCTGCTGGCCTGTGTGGGCAACAGAGCAGCCAGGCAGCTTCCATTGCCTCAGCGGTGGGATTCAGACCACACTGAAGCGCTGAGAGCATCTGTCCTTGCTCAGCTGATGCAGGAGGGAACAAGATGCGATCGTGCCCCGTGGCTGCCCTGGTGCCTCCAACTAGCAAAATACCCTGGGTAGGTCTGGCCGGTGGCACCATGCTCTGTAGGGAATGTTTAGTGAAAGCAACATCAGACTGTGTGCTTACTGGCTTCCCTCCTCTTCCACTGGCTGCACATTCGTTTCTGGAGGTTTCTCCCCCTTTCCTGCAGAGGTGCTGGGCAGGGCTGTGCCGCGGCCGTGGTGCTGGGAAGGGGCGAAGGGTGCTGGGAGCAGGACAGTGACTCAGCTCAGCCCGGTGGGACCTTTCTGCAGAAGCAGCCGAAGCAGGAAGGAAGAAGCAGTATCTGCCACTTTCCATAAACATTAGCGGGGAATAGTCCAGGGTTTTTTTCTGTTCAGCTCAAAAAATCCTACTTCGTGCTTAGCGTGCTGATTTGCAACAGAGAGAGACCAACAGGCAGGGTGCAAGGGACCTCCCCATCGCAGGGACGTTGGAGGCTGGAACCTGCTCGCAGTGAGCAAAGTTCAAAGCAGAGAAACCCAAAGCCTTGTGTCTGCTCAGCCCCGCAGAGGCTGGATGTGGCCCATCACGTCCCAGCTCCTGCGGGAGGGAGGGAATCAGCATCAGCACCAGCTGATGGACCACGGGGCTTGGGGCGAGGACTGGGAGGACCGGGGCCATGGTGACACTGGGGCACCAGTGCTGTGCACCTGCGGCTGATGCAATGGATGGGCTCCTTGCTGGGCTTGAGTCTCTCGCTGGGGAGAGCTGCGGAGGGTCCCGAAAGAGAGCAGGAAGGCAGAGGCATGGATGGGAGGGAGGCTTGGGGGGAAAATACCACTTTTTTCACGTAGCTGGCGGCCATTCACACACAGACTCCTTCCCACCCGTGCTGTGCCCCGGGGCAGAGCCTGCAGCTCCTTCACCTGCAGAGCTAAAGCTGATGGCAAAGCAAATCACGATTTTGGCGTTGTGACAGCCCAGCCCTGCCCTACAGCTCTCTGGGTTTTGCAGGGGAAAATGGCCTCTGTAAATAGCAGCAGCAGACTTGCAGTTTCCACCCTGGTGTGCCCTCAGAAGGGAAGTGAGAAGTACTTGGGGGCGGTTTGTCCCTCCTCACTGAGCAGAGATCAGACTGTGTGATTTCAGCTTTAAAATCCTTGGTGTATGCTGCGACCCGAGCCCCGTGTGTCCCAGCAGCCTGACCCTTTGTGCAGCCTCCAAGGACAGTGTGTGGTTGATTCTCAAGAACCTCCAAACCTGGTCCCCCCTGAGCTGTCTTCTCGCAGCTAAGGTGGTGGCTGATGGTCTGCCCTGCCCGGGGCCATCCCTGTGCTCTGCAACAGGGATCAGGCAACGATCCCCAGCACCCTGGTCTGGATTCCTGGGTCAAACTCTTCCTCTACTGTGTGCCACTGGTGGGAGAGCATCCATTGGCAGTTCCCCGTGGAGCCTCTCAGCTTGGTGCATCCCTCTGTGTTCCTCTGCATGGCTTTGCATCCTGCAGCATCCCCTCCACATCCCCTCCGCATCCGTTAGCATCCCTCAGCACCCGCCTGCATATGGCTCCGGGGGTTACACGGTCTATTTGGGGTGATAGAGCCCAGTTTTGTCCCGACAATAAAACTTTGGTTTTATTCTGGGCTCTTGCCCCAGTGACATTGCTGCAAGGAGAGCTGCAGGTAATGGATAGACAGAGTGGACAACGCTTGGCTCCGAAAATTTTGAGGCTGCTT